AAACTTTCTGAACAACCACAACAACAACAATAACAAAACATTAAAGACCTAAATACACACATTAACATGCACAGACATATAATTACATATTCAATATCTAGACATACATACATACGTGTCCGCATACATGTATGTATATAAATGTATGGTATGTTAAATGTCTATGTGTATATACATACCAAATCACCAATACTGTTTCAAGCATGTTGCCTAGAGGCTCATACCCTACCCCTTTTTAGGATACCTAGTTTTACGGTTAGGATCTATTATCTTCAAAAGTAGGCGCCTTGAAAAAGGGGGTATGAGCGTCTAGGTGATGTGGATGGGAGAATGAGCGATTCCGTGAATGGATGCAAGGCAGAGCAAAGCTGCCCTGAGAACATACCCAAAGGCTCCATGTACCCTTTATGGTAGATACTTGGGCCTTAAAGGGGTCCCTGTATAGGTACTTTAAGGCCTAAGTATATGGAGCCTTAGGGATAGCTGTATGTGAATGAAAACCCTGAACCCTTAACCTATTGCATCGGAACCTTACTTCGGGGGTATTGTACGCGACTCTATGGGGATACAGCCACTAGTTATGCCGAGCCCCGTGCTAACTCAAAGCCCGTCGATGCGGGCGATGGGAAACTGCACAGCAGAAAAAGTTGGATTTCAATTCAAGGAAGAAACTTTCCTCAAAAGTTCTGCTGATGATACTATGGGTAATGCAGGTATTTGTCCATCAGCACAGTGTCTGGAAGGCTGTATGGTTGACGTCGTGGTGCGGCGGCAGATTGGGCCACCTTTTTCCCGCACCGGGTTCCCTAAGGGTCCATGTACTCATATAATGTATTCATTGGCCTAAATGTAGTCCCTATTTTGGGAAATTTGGGGCCGATGTATCTCTATATGGTCACATGGACCCGTAGGGATTAGGCTCTGTGCCCAAAGAGATGAGGGCTGAGAGCCCGGAAGACTTCACGGCGGAAGGTTTTAGGGTTTAGGGGTTTAGCTAAGCTTTGATATTGGAGGAGCTAAGGAGCCAGGGATGATGATAATCCCTATTGAATAAGGAGCTAAAGAGCCCAGGGAACCCCAAAACCATTGGTTAGTTAGGGCTTAGAGGTTAGAGGCTCAGAGGTTATAGGGTTCATGGGGCTCAGAGGTTTAGGGTTTATGGGGGCCCGGGGGTTTAGGGTTTAGAGGTTTGAGGTTTAGGGTTTATAGGGCTTCATACAGCTAGAGGTTAAAGCTTTAGGGCGGTCAGGAGTTTAGGGTTTAGGGGGGGTCAGGAGTTTAAGGTTTAGAGGTTTAGGATTTCGGGTTCATACGGCTTAGAAGTTTAGGGCTTGTAGGAGGGTTTAGGAGTTTAGGGTTAAAAGGTATACGGTTTAGAGGGCTTTGAGGTTTCGGGTTTGTAGGAGTTTAGGGCTTAGAGGGTTTATAGGGGTCTGGTGGTATTTAGAGTTTAGGGCTTTAAGACTTAGAACCCTAGCAAAAATTATAATTTTAGCTGTTTCTTAGCTATAATTAAGAAATATTTCTAAGCACCCCTAAGTTAAGTCATGACTTCTCTCTTCCTGTCAGCTTTTGGACAAGCCGCAGCCGACATGTGAAATCTAGGCCCCTAGGTATACTATACTATAAAACCAGAATAAGGAACCCACCAGAACCCTATTCTATATTTATTAAGGAACCTACATTAACCCGAAAAAATCAGAAACCCCAAAAACCTCATTCAAATTATTAAGTTCCCAAAACTAACCCCTTATAGTAGCCCTTATAGTAACCCTTAAAGGATTCCTTTGCAGGAACCCTTTTCAAATTATTAAGGCCCCTACAGTAACATGTTTAGGCCCGACATGCTGAAATCCTACGCTCCGGCTCCGCACCGTGAAACCCGGCCTGGGCCCTTTCGCATTGCTGCCGCAGGAACCTGTCGGAAACGCGAAACTCTACCTGGAGGCTCATACCGTACCCCTTTTTCAGGGCGCCTACCTTTGAAGATAGCAGATCCCAACCATAAAACTAGATAAAACTACAGTAGAAGCCAAAAAGTTGGAACATCAGTAGCCTCATGCCCTTAAGGTAAAGTAAAGGGAAACCCAGCATGAATCATCCTAAATCCATGTTCCAACTTTCTGGGGTTCACTATAGGTCTTCCAAAAAAGGTGTAGGGTATGAGCCTCTGGGTATATCTGAAGCCCTTTCCCAAAGGCTCCATGTACCTTTATAATGGATTCTTAGGCCTTGCAGGGGTCCCCATATAGGTACTTTTAAGGCCTAAGGAAAAACCATATGGGTGCATGGAGCCTTAGGGGCATATACCAGCCCAGAGTCCCAAGACCAGATTCATTCAAGCTTGTGATATGCCCCTGAGTCTCTATGTACCTATATAGTTTATCCTTAGGCCTTAAAGTACCTATATGGGGACCCCTTTAAGGCCTAAGTACCTAGTAGTTTACAACCGTACATGGAGCCTGACGTCCAAAACCCGAAACTCCACCCCTAAACCCCTAACCCTAAGGTTCCAAGTACCTGATAATCAATCGGGTTTAGGGTTTAGGGGTTTAGGGTACAGGGTCTGGGTTTAGGGTTCGTTCCTTTGAGAACGTGGTCTACCTACAGGATCAGGAGACTTTGTCAAAAGGGTTATAGTCAAGTAACTAAACAGAAAGTCATTACCCGTAGCCCCAATTAGGGAACCTATATCTTGTAACCTCACTTACCAAGTCCCATGATCCTTGAAGTAGGGCTCTTACCGGATTCGGACTGTTGGGGTTTTAGGGGTTGTGGTTTGGGTTTAGAAGTGTGGGATTGAGGGCTTTGGGGGTCGTCAGGTATAAGGGCTGCAGAGTTGGGGCTCTCGGGGGTTGCTGCAAAGAAGGGCATGTTGAGCTTTGTTTTGAAGGGCTGCACCTTCATTTTGTGTTATACGCGGTCTCCGCGAGCGCCGTGGTTATGCTTCGTTTGCCCAGAAGTACCGAAATAGAGGTTACTTTAAGGCCAGCTATGTACTATCTAGGCACACGGACCCTTATATGTAGGGCTTTGGGAAACGGATTCATTGAAGGGTTTGGAGGTGACGTCTCCGGCTCTGGGCCGGCCAGGGGGTTTCGAAGGACCTCATGTTGCGGTAATTTGTGAAAATGTAGGAACCTTAGAAGCTCAAACAAGACGCCTTATGGAATTCAATCTACGTCCTAAACACGAAGTCCAGAATCCCAAGAGCTTGAAGAGTCCCTATCGACCCTAAACCCTAAACCCTATTCCTTGCGCGTGTGGTTGGGATCCCTTACTTGCAGGTTCATGGGTTTAGGGTTTAGGGTTTAGGGGTTTAGGGTTTAGGGTTTAGGGTTAGTTATATACAAGTAGGGATACGGATAAGAGAATTGTAGTTATCTAATTATGTCTAAGTAGGGTTATAGGTAGGATAACTGTAGCTATAACCCATATTACGGGACTTGAAAAACCCTACTTATAACTACCCATGAACCTCCAAGCAGACCCTGAACCCTACACCCTTATAGAATCTCTTTCGATCCCTTTAAAGGGACTGTTATAACTACTAGTACCCATCAAAATCCCTTAATTAAGGAATATACCTTAAACCATAGTAGGATCCCTAATAAGATTTACAGTATATTCCTTAATTAAGGGATTTTGGAAGGTCTGGGTACTAGTACCCATGAACCTCCAAGCAGTGCCAGGGTGCTTAGGACCAGGGCGAGCTTCCATGCTTTGGACGAGACCCAGACCCCCGGGAGGATCCAAGAAGTAGATCCCTTAATGGGGGTTCCTATAAAGTACGGTTGATGATATAAACCCTGCATTACCCATCAAAAGGAAATACCACTAGTCCCATAGTTTAGGGCCATTAAGGTAATGCAGGATTTATATCATCAACCGTACCCTTGGCAGTATAGGGCCCCCCAAAATGGGATCTACTTTCTAGATCCTCCCGGGGGTCTGGTAGGTCTAAGGCTGAGGCTAAGGACTTAAGAATCTTTAAGGCGAATGCAAAGATCACTTCCACTTGGGGGGTCGGGGGACGTAGTAAGTAGTTATTTTGTAGAGTTATGAGTACCATAACCCCAATCAGAGTCCCCATGAAGGTCCCTATAACTCTATATGGTTAGTTGTCAAACATACAGTCCCTTTTAGGGTACCCAAATTATCATAAGGACCCAAAAAGGAACCACAATTGTGACAACCACCCATATAATACCTAGATACTAAGTCCCCCGACCCTCCAAGCATGCTGGGGGCAGCAGACCCCGCAGTCGACAGATGAAATCCAAGACTCGCGGAACCCCTGCGAAAAGGCCCGAAACCCGAACCCCAAGGTTTAGGGTTTAGGGGCTTAGGGTTTAGGGGTTTAGGGGTTTAGGGTTTAGGGATTTAGGGTTTAGGGGTTTAGGGCGGCGTTCTGAACACCCGCACAACCTTCCCGGAAGCTCAGAGAGCTTAAACTGTAAGCCTGCAGCCGAAAACGAAAGCCGATAAGCCCATACCCTAACTGCCGCAGATAGAAAGGATTGTGCAATTACAAAAATAAACATGGAATAGACATTAAAGGTCACACTAAAAGTGCAGGTTGAATTAATCGTGATAATTAAACCTCCTACTTATCCTAACCCCTATAGCCGCTAATCCGAAACCGTTCCTGCCTACTCATCCCAGGAGAGGCAATGGCGTACACGACCAAGCCTCGCTGTGACAAAAGCAGGAACGAACCTACATGACCGGGTTCAAGATTTTGGATTTCTGGGTTTCGGGGACCGACGTGCTGTTATCATTATTGATAAGATTTCTCTTTTTAAGTTTACGTATGACGGCCATCTGTATTGTTATGGTTCGTATCGCGCATTGGCCACTCAGAAAAAGGTTGGTTTAGCAGGACTTTCATGGGCCGCAGGTGGTGCTGCGAGTGAAGCAATCACAACCATGACAGCCATCGCATGGCTGCCAGTATGAACCACTGACCGTATGCCCATTCTTTGCCCGTCTGTAGAATCTTTCTTCAGCACCTCTCCCGATACCGGAGCTGTCCTTTGGAACGAGGATCGCGTCCTCCGATAAAGGGGTCTATAAGGGATCTATAAGGGTACCATGATAAAAGGGCCTGAATGATTACCTATACTGCAATATTTTGGGGTGGATGATTACATTTATGGTATAATGGGCCCCTAAACCTTGTTCTAAGCGTTCGCACCCGTGAAATGCAAACTTGCCAGGTCACTGTTGTTGCTCTTCGCAGTGTCGACGATGTGGTCGATCTCCTGCATCCACCAAGTTTAGGACATGTAAGGCGTGGGTAAACCTCTTGAGGTGTTCAAGCTTGTGGATTCTATTTCGAGGCCTAACTGAAGGAGTGCCAAGGGTGCCGAAACAAGCGGTCCTGTGGATCCGGGCTTCACGCCTAAACTTCCGTAGTGCCGTTTCAAGAATTTGATGTAAACTTCAACACAAGCTTTTTCACACCTCGAGATAAGATCAAATCCATAATTCGAGATCCGTTTGCTTTAACAAGTTTCAAGCTACCGCTGCTACCATTGCATTACCGTGCTTCTTATGACCGATGTTGCTGCTGGTTTACATACCAGCTGAGAGGGTCGGTTAGCTTTCGCGTTTGCAGATTGCGCTTCCGGAACCTCTTGCAGTGCAGTACAAACAATAGCAATTCTCCCACCCGATCAATTCAATAGTTGCGCGGTGGTCTTTTCGCAAACAACCTGGTATAGGGCCTGATGAATTAGAATAGGGTTTAGGGGCCCATTATACCATAAGTATAATAAGGACCCCCCCCCCCCCCAAAAAAAAAAAAAAAGCACAGTATAGGTAATTATTTAGGCCCCTATATCATACTACCCTTGTAGATCCCTTGTAATAACACTCATACACCCCGTTACAGGCACCCCGAAAATAGTATACCCTAAGGGTCCATGTACCCATATAGCATATACTTTGGGCCCAATGTACCTATATAGGGAGTACTTTAAGGCCAATGTATCTACTATATGAGTACAAGGAGCCCTTGGGATAGAATCATAAACCCTAGATCCTAAACCCTAAACCCCTATACCCCTAAACCCTAAATCCTAAACCAGCTCCCTATATGAGTACATGGACCCTTAGGGATAGGTAACTTTGCAGCATTGGCGTCGTCGGCTCAAGCCCAGCCCTTTCGCGAGAGCGAAACTTTTCAGGCGATGCATCGTCGAAGACTAAGAGTTAGAAGGGGCCCCCACCCTGTAATAGTGACTATAAGGATTATATAGGATTATATTAGGGCCCTATTATATTCCTATTATACCACTATTACAGGGTGGGGGCAGCTTCTAAACTAAGAGTAACCTAGGAATAAAAAGACTGGAGAGGGGAGGTTTAGGGTTTAGGGGTTTAGGGTTTAGGAATTGAGAAACTGGCTACATCCAAGAGTAACCTAGGAAGAACAAGGGTGCCCTGTTTGGTTTAAAGAGGGTTATAAGGGAACCTAACCCTCAAAAAAGGGAATAAGGGCCTACTTTGGGTCCTTGTCGTAGAAGACCCCCAGGCGGCTCTTTCATAGAGACCCTTAGGGGGGTAGGGGGAGGGGGGGTCGGGGGCCTTAATGCCCATAAGAAGGGCTTAATAAGGCCTATTTAGGGAAGTATACGTATAGTGCTCTCCCCCCATCCCCCTACTCCCCTAAGATTCCCGATGACTCTTGGAGGGTCGGGGGACTTTGTAAGTAGTTGTCATTTAGAGTTATAAGAGCGTTCGCCTTTGCGTGGCAAGCTTCGAAAGCACCTATATCCCAGAATTCCACACCATGCAACCGGAAACAGACTTGTTGAATCAAGTGCTTACGGCACTGAAGCACAGAATCCTAAAACGCATCACCCAAAACTATAAGAGCCTTTGAATTCTGGACCTTCGGCTTGATGGTATATGTCGCACAGATTCGGGGAACCCCAAACAGATCCCGAAGTTACGTTGAACACGGACACGCAAGACTTGTGCTGCCCTCTGATCTCGAATCAGCGCGACGACTGATGAAATTTAAGGCCCTCCCAGATCTCCCATCCTGCAGCATGCTGACTTCGGAACAAATGGTAATGTTCTCGACATCCGAGTCTGGGAATTGGTCCAAAGCCTGCCATCCGTCTACAATACACCAACCTCTTCGCGCATGGGGCTGGGGATCGGAGATTCCGGGCCTGACAAGACTGATTTGTCCAAACCAAGTGCAGGAAAAAGCCGAAGCAGTGTGGTCAAATCCTTGCATATGGGTAGTTGTCAAAAGTGTGGAGCCTTTTAGGGGTACTCTGTATATTAGGTGCCGCAAAAATAATAAGGACCCCAAAAAAGCGACCCTAGTTCTCACAACCACCCATATGGACACGGGCTAGAGTCGAGAGCAAGTTTGGACAGCATCCAACTCTGTCGAAGTGTGGGGTGCATGAGCGCATATGTGGTGCAAGCTCTTTCAAGCCTTGGTAGCAAACCATTCTTGCTCGTAATTTCGACGTTGTGCTTTGGAAATTCGAACCCTGCAGGTGCGCTGCAGGGCGCAAAATCTGTTATGATGGGTGCGAAGTTGTATGCCCGAAGCCTCTGCAGATGGAAACACTGACGATGTACTAGTCACGAGCAGTGCTGAACGTATTGGAATATGCTGAGTGGTGTCCTACGTCTACTCGGTACACGGTGAAAACAGCACAACGTTCAAAACATCAAACATGAAACATAAACAACAAATAACAACTATCAACCCATGTGCAGCTCCGTGGCAAGGCATGTCCAGCTCAACAGTTTTATGTGCATACCTAAAGTTACATCCAACTTTTGCTCGGTCTGGGCCGCATGAAAGGTATTCGCAGGCAGTGAGGAAGCCGATATTTTTTGTTGCGACCCGTGACAGCACTCGACCTAATCTCTCATCTTGGCCCGCCTTGCACAACATGAGGTATACCACCTCGGCCGAACCGTCCGAGACGGCGTAAAGCCTCAACGCAGTGCATCAACTTACTGGACCTAAAGTCCCCTCCAGAATTACATGAGGGTCGAAGATTCGACAATTCAACCGCACATTCATGTTTGGCTTAATTATTTTGTACAATGGTTTCTCCCCAATATAATCCGCTCCGCCTCTTTCTTATGTAAGAACCTGAAACCCAAGGACATGTTTCAAAATTCGGGGGGATCCGAGTATGGGTCAGATATGTGCGCAGTTATTGTAGGTTAGCTAGCTAAAGATACCAAGCATCATATAGGTACATAGAAAGATAATTAAAAAACATAGACACACAACAGCCAGAGCCCTTAAAGTCCTGAGCTTTAAACTTAAGCCTTTTAGCCCTGCCGGATCTTGGGGTTCAGTGTTACTGTAGTCTTGAATCACTTACATAAAACTCATTCAACCCTAGCTCCCGCCTAATGATCCCTTATGCTTTGATAAACTTTCAACTCTCGGCCCGAACCATCGTAAACCTCGGACCACGCATAACCTACCAATCTACCATATGGGTGGTTGTCAAAATCATGGTCCCTTCTGGGGTCCTTATTATACTGCGGCACCTAATATTCAGGGTACCCCAAAAGGGGCCATAATGTTGACAACCACCCATATGGATGGCTCTGAAAAATTACGGTCCCACTGGCATAAGGACCCTAGACGGGATCCTGATGCAGAACTACGCATATAGGGGTTTCAGATGGTTTCAGACGAATGGCAGGGTTCCTTGCGCACAGTCCCCAATGTGGGAATTGTCGAATAAAAACCCCATGCAGACTGTTCGGCTCTTACATAATTCGATCAAGTTTCGGGCATATTACAGTATAGTTACACGGAGACTATAAGGGGACAGTACTACCCGGCAGTCAAACCATTAGAATTACGTGAAGCCCCTCAGGATTGGTGTCGCATGAAGGGATGGAGGGTGCAAGGGTTTGCACTGACTGCTACGATCAACGGCCAAGAACCCTTACCCTAAACCCGAAACTCTTATAAACTCTTGAGATTTGAGGGATTCCTTTACTGGACATTCGAACCGCCCAGGTACTTGGAGGTTCACGGGTAGTTCAAAGTAGGGTTATAAGTAGGATAGCTCTACTTGTAAGCTATATTCGGGAACTTATAACTCCACGTATGACTACTCATGAACCTCCAGGTACCCCTTACAGAGAACATCGGCGAGCTTTTTAACCGAGACGCGTCTTCTGTGGCGTTGCAGGAGAGTCGCCTGAGCCTGATCGTGATCACCCAGCCAGCCCAATAGCTCTCAATTCAGGAAGCTCAATTTAGAGGTTCAGGGTTTAGCGATCTACCGTACGACTTTTCAGGATACTTGATGCAGCTTAAGGTGCGCATTCCTATTTAAGACCCTCAACCCAAAACCCTAACCGCCGCCTACCCCACCCCCCACCGACCGTAGCTATAGTATCCACTGTAGTTCTTTGTTGCGTTTCCTAATAGTACCCTTACATAGGGACTGCCTTTCACACCAAAGTATACGCCACATACCACATGGTGGGGACTATCTACGTACATACTTCAGGTCCAATTTATATACCATGTCCGTGAGAAGATCCTCTTTAAGTTATTAAGGATTCAAAAGAACCCTGAAGGGAAACCTTGCAGGAAGCCCTTTATGGGGTTATCGACCGATAAGCGCTTAGCCCTGTTTAGGGTTTAGGGGTTACAGGGTCTCCGGGTTTAGGGGCACACGGGTTTGCAGGTTTAGGCCTCAGGTTTTGGTTGATCCCCAAACCTGAAACCCACAAAGGATGGTGTGTCTAGGACTTGCAGCAGTAGGAGCAAAGATCATGCCGTTGGGCTTCTGTCTTTTTCTGTACCCTAAGAAAACGGACAACATAATGAGGAGCCCGAAAAATACTGTTGATGATATAAATCCTGCATGACCTTAAGGACCCTAAACTCGGAATTATGGTATATTCCTTATTATGGATCATGCAGGGTTTATATCATCAACAGTAGTATAGGATAATAATATTAAGGGTTCATGTCGGGTTAAAATGTTCCGGAACCTGTAGCCCAACAAACCTCCCTGCTGAAGGAACCTTTGGGTGGTTGTCAAAATTAGGGTCCCGTTTTGGGTCCCTACTATAATACGGCACCTAATATTTAGGGTATGTTGACAACTACCCATATGAAATACTTACATATCTAATCATTAATTAATCATTACCAAACAAGGCAGGGCTTTCTGCGCTTCGCCTAGTCCGAACCTCTAAGCACAGTTGTTCATGCTCGCAGACCATGGCTTAGGCTGCAGTTGCGCGCCAGCTAAGCCCGAACCACCAAGCCAATCCTATAAAGCACCTCAGTATCTCAAAGAAACCCTATGACAAAAAAGAAAAAACTCTACGAACCTTATGGGAGTTCACGAAAATAGGGGACCCTAATATAATTAATAATACCCTAAATACGGTACCCCCTAATTTTGCGGAAACTCCCTTATAAAACTCTAGTAATCCTAAAAAAACCCTAAATCAAGGCTTACACAAGCCATGCTCGCTCAAAGTTCGTGCTTCTACTATGTTTGGGTGCTTGCTCGGCCTCTCCTTTTCTCCCCAGTCGTCGCCCCTGTTGTCGTCTGCTGACTAAGCCAGCTCCCTATCTTGATGCTTCGTCTTGCAGGATCACCCGCTAATGCCGTGCTTGGAGTGCTTTAATCATAACAGACGATGCATCCTACCCTGCTACACGCCTTCTCTTGGAAGGCCGACCATCCCCAGTGGCTGACGTAGCTGACGTCAGCCAGCACCATACAATATAAAAAGCTTGTGCCTCACTCCGCAAATTTGCAGAGATCGACTTCAGAGACTTTTTGCGACGATCGTAGGACTCGCGAGGGAGATCAGGATTGTATGATGCTGCACAGCTGTTCCTCGGTTAATTTACTTACTAGAAACAAAGTCTGCTCCATCAAGACTGCGGCAAACCGCTTATCTGCATGCAAACACGAGTCTTGCCATCCACCATTTGTCCCGCCTGAAGCCTGCCTTGAAAGTGTGGCAGCGTGCGATTCGAGTGGACGACTTTGTTCATGAACGTTCCCGGAGGCAAAGGCATAAGGCGTAGCAGGTCTGGTGGCAATGCCGTCGTTGCCGATAGCATGGCCCGAGATGCTCTTGATGCCTCCTCAGCTTGTCCACCGGCAGCAGGAAGCGCCTCCTGTCCAGCCGGCTCCTCTCCCACCTTGGATGGTTGGCAGAAACACCAATAGTACTGACTCTTTGCACAGTCTTAAAAACATGTGTTAGACATATCTAGAAACTGTCTCCTCTTCCTCCTCCTCCTCGTCTTGCCCTTGCAAGAGCTCTCTGCAAGCCCTTGCTGCGGGATCGTCTTCGAGCTCCTCCCAGGTGATCTCTTCCTGGTTCGGGGCATGCATTGAGAAGCTTACTGTCACCCAAGAACGACAAACAGAAGTGTCATCAAAATGCGTTGTTTAGGCCCGCCTCATCCTTGGCAGGGTCCGCCGCCTGCTGCTTGTCGTCCTGCTTCGCTTTTCTTTTCTCCTCCTGCTGCTCCAAGGCTTTCAGAATGCGGTCGATGCTGGCTTGCGAGCACTCTTGCTTCACAGCATCCAAGGTCAAGATCTTTCTGATTCGCTGAGCTTTCGTAGCATTTTTGAGCATCTTGATGCCCATGCTGTCCAAGATATCAATCAAGGAGCTCACTCGCGCTTTCAAGATGCCACCTTTCTCCACCAGCCATCCAAGCAAAGAAAACTCTCGGCTTCCTCTCCTCAGCAGCAGGTTGTTGCCACACTTCGTCTCGAGGATCTGATCGGCCACATGGAGAGTGTAATCGAAAATTTTCACCTCGGATAAGTTTGTCGATGTGAGTGTTTCCAAAGAAACTTCGCCGGGGGGCCTCTTCCATCGAAATCAGAAGCTTCGAAACCAGGCTCCTGGAATCGTTTTCAGAAAGATATGTCGAGACGGTGCACTTACACAGCATGACAATCGACACCCGGCCTTCCGATCTTCAGCGTCAAGGCTTTCGTGGATTCCCCCTCGCACAGCGGATCTTCGAAACTATCCTGCTTGGAGTCGTTGGCCGGGATTCTTGTCTCGTCCGCCTCCTCCTTCGGGAGCCCACCTGCGAATTTGTACGGCAGCTCCTCGAGCCGGACAACCTCACGAGAGAAACCGCACGACAGAAGGATGGGTTTATAATATCCATCCAGTGCAAATCGCAGCTTTACCTGCTGATTATGGTATCGCAAGGCACGTACAGCATAGCCGGTGTTCGTCCTGTTGACAGGTAGTAGACATCGTTCTGCCGGAGGAGTGTGGCAGCACTGAACACATCGGGAACCCAGAAGTTCTCGGCAGCACTCATCGGCTCTCTGCCAAGCCTGAGCATATTGTTTGAAAACACATGATTTGAGAATTCGCTGCCTGCTTCCTGCCACCAACAGAACACACACCTATGCGGTCACTTGCGTTTGTGGGTTTGTTCAGTCTCTCGCACTATCTATCTCTCTCTCTCTCTCCCTATCTCTCTTTACCTCTCTCTGCTGACTATGTCTTTGGTCCCTGTCATCGTCTTTGCCAAAGAGCGAGTTCGCAGCCAGTAGCCCCGCCATGTAATTGCAGCAATGGTTCTGGTGATGGAAGGCCGAGGTGCTGGGAAAAGGTTTGACGATGTTCTCGAAGGACACATTCTGGCCTGCTCATCAAAACATTACAAGCGTGCAGGGAGAGGGAAAAAGAGGGAGATAAAAAAATGCAAAAAGCAAAACACGATCACGATCTGCGTGCAGCCCTTATTCTTGCACCGAGGCACACGGGAGGGCGGAGGAGGGATGGAAAATCTTGCTTTTCAATCCTGACACCTGGGGGCCGGTCCAATCATCTTTCTCAAGCTTCAAAGCCGCAGGTGCATCCTCTTGGATAGAAATACGACGAACCAAGCCTCTGATGCCGACACTCATGAGGTTGGCCAAAGAGCCCACATCAGCCTGTCCACTTCTCTTCGTAGCCGATGACATCTCAGAAAACAGAGATTCGATGTTGCTTGACCATGCAAATTCCGGGAACCAACTTGTCATGATGCCAGCTGCCTCTTCATGCTCGTTCCATCCATGCTTCTCCCAAGCTGTCATGACTTCCCTGTAGTTTTGGAAAAGCGTGTAGCCACAGTGTTGCTGAAGCTGGGCAGCCGATGTTGGGCTGGCCTCCAAACTCAAGATCATCACCCATTCGGCCTGGAGTTCTTTCAGGACTCGGGCCTTTGTTGCGGGGTCATCGGCTGGGGCGATGAGGCAGGCAGCCTTCCAGGGAGCCGTTCTCAGGTAGAGGTGGTGCTGTTCAAGCTCGTGCACCACCGCCAAGTACATACCCAGGGCTTCGCTCAAAATGATTCGAGAAGCAGAGTCCCGAAAAAATTTGATGTCCAGAACCTGCCCCAAGGAATCAGAAAGGAATTGGCAGCATGGTGCTCTTGATGCTACATAGTAATATAAACAATAACAAAAGGGTCTCGTCTCTCCTGTGGTATTGTTGTTGTCGTCGTCTTCTGTCCTTTCCTCACTTGCTTCTACGATGCTGATAGCTTGCGGAAATTATGCTTGCTGCTACTACTACTACTACTACTACTACTACTGCTGCTGCTGCTACTACTACTACAACTACTATTATTACTACTACTACTACTACTACTATTACTACGACTACTATTACTATTACTACTACCACCGCGGCAAGTACTACTTCGATCCCTCCGGCTGCTCCTGCTGTTCTTGCGACTGGTACCGAGGGTGGATAGTTTCGTAAAGATGTGTGCTTCTATTCAAGCCTCGACAACGTCAATAGCAATTGCAGTGGAGCGGTGAAATGCCTAGTGCGAGCAGTAGCACTAGCAGCAGCAGCGAAGTACCACTCAGGGCTGTCATAGTAGTAGCAGTAGTACTGCCTGTGCAAGCAGCAGAAGGAGCAGCAGGAGCAGTAGTAGTAGGGGAGTAGGAGCAGGGGTAAGTGGGGGTAGGGGCAGGGGTCGGGGTCGGAGTACTACTGGCGGTGGTAGGAGCAGCAGGAGGAGTAGTTGCAGGAGTGGCAGCAGCACGACTAGGCAACACAACTAGAACTATGAGTACATAGTAGTAGCGGTGGAACTAGCAGTAGGAGCAGGGGTACTAGGAGTAGTAGTAGTAGTAGTGGTGGTGGCGGTGGTAGTACGGCACCTGAAGTACCAGTAGTTGTTCCAGCTGTACTCGTTGTACTAAATATAGTACTGAGTAGCAGAACAGCGGCAGCAGAAGCCAGAGTTTATTCGTCCTGGTATCAGTAGGACAACAGGGGTCATTGTGCAAGGGGGGGCAGAAGTAGTCGTAGCAGTCTTCACGGTCATCGTGGTCGTGGTGGCCTTGGCATCGGAAGTTTTTTTGGTGGTACTGGTGATTTTGGTCTTTGCCTGCTGCTGTCTTGTCAGTATTCATAGTAGTAGCAGCAACAGCAACAGCAGGAGGAGTAGTAGTAATAGCGGTAGTTGTGCCAGTAGTATTACTCGTAGACGTAACAGAGTAGTTACTGCAGAGCAGCAGTAGGAGGACCGGTAGTGGTACTAGTTCTACTATTAGTAGTAGTAGCAGTAGTAAGTAGCAGCCGCAGCCATAGGAGTTGTGCCTCTGTAGTTGCACAGATAATAGCACTAGTAGTGGTCGTAGCAGCAGCATCAGGCAAGGATTAGTCGTGGTAGTAGTAGTACTAGCAGTGGTAGTAGTAGTGGTAGCAGCAGTGGCAGTAGCAGTAGCAGTAGCAGTAGTTCCAGTAGGTACTAGTAGTAGTAGTAGTAGTAGTAGTAGTAGTAGTAGTAGTAGTAGTAGTAGTTGTAGTAGTAGTAGTAGTAGGAGCCGGTTGAAAGGACACTCAGCCGTTGAGGTATTTGTCGCTTAAAGGTGATCAGAGTGCTGTTTTGTGTCCTTCCTTCCAGGCTTGTAGTAGTAGTAGTAGTAGTAGTAGTAGTAGTAGTAGTAGTAGTCGTAGTAGTACTAGTAGTAGTAGTAGTAGTAGCAGTAGTAGTAGTAGTAGTAGTAGTAGTAGTAGCAGTGGTTGTAGTAGTAGTAGTAGTAGTAGTAGTAGTAGTAGTAGTAGTAGTAGTAGTAGTAGTAGTAGTAGTAATAGTAGTAGTAGCAGTAGTAGTAGTCGTAGTAGCAGTAGTAGTAACAGCAGCAGTAGGAACAGGCCTGGTAGGTGGTAGCAAAAGTAGTCGGGGTCTCAGCTGTGCCGTTTGGGAGATACATAAGACAAACTCAGGCGGGTCACGGGCCTTTGGGGCTGGGATGGTTTGGTGCTTAGTTGGTAGGGCTGGTTTCAGAATTGAAGGTTCGCACCATAGTCTGCATTGACTCTTATTTGTTATCATCTCATGAACACCTTCAGTTGTTCGTAGGGTTCAGGGTTAGGGTCTGATATGGCTTGATTGAGTTGCCGCCTCCAGCTGCGTGCACGAGTCAATGCGGCACTGACACCGTCATCCTGATAATCAGGTAACTATTATAATATTGACTAGACCACGGAATCTTAACCTCAGATCACCGGTATGTTGCCTCTCCGCTCGGCGCCGCGATGTCGGGCGGCATATCCAAGCACTTGCAGGAGAAGCATTCAGTCGCGAGTTTTGATAGCCGCATCTCCAACTCGTTCGTGTTGGCTTCAAGCGTGAATTTGTGCAGGGCCATCTTCTTGCTCTGCTCTTGTTGCTTAGATAGGTTGGTATATGCAGACGGTGTGCACTGATTTCTGCCTGGCCCCTTCCCCTTGATGCAGCTGAGTCACAAGATGCACACACATCTCCTTGAAAGGAGCCACCACACGGCGGCCGAAGAGGAAGAGGCCGAAGAGCACCTCGTCCATCAAAGCCTGCCCAAAGCTTCAGTCGAGCAAGAAGTTATTTAGATGTATTGAACGTCAAATGCATCTACGTTAAGCAGCCAGTCCTTCACACACGTGTCCACGGTTTTGTCGTAGCTCTGGTTCGATGAAGCACCAGATTGCAGGATCTGAAAAGGGTTTTTCCCAACCTGCTGGCAGTCTTGGCCCATGCGTGCGGGGTTTGGGGTTTGGGGTTTTGGGTTTGGGGTTTGGGGTGGGCTTGTGCTATTGTTTGATTTGACTGATTGCTCTTCAGGTTCGATGACAACAAAGCCAAGCATAGCCTCCATGGAACTCCACAGGATCAGCAACAAAGTGCAAGTCATCTGGAATTTGGCAGCCGTGTGGGCCCAGCTGCACCATCGAGACCAGGAGAAGGATTCACTGTTGTACCTTACATACTGATGAACACCAGCCTACGGGTGAGAAGTTCTGCAATGGGTTCTGTTTTCAAGCCGGGACTCTTGATCGTTTTGCCGAGGATCTCCACAACCCTCGCGAAGTTCAAGCTGGCATCTGTCGTGCACGGCAATCCGTTCCTTGGCTGGTAAAATTCGAACCAGTTAAGAATACTATCGGAGGCAAGAACTTGTCATTGCAAATTCCAACGAGTGTCTCTTTGAGGATGTCCCGACTGAAAAGCTCCATGAGCACGTCGTCCTTTTCAGCCTCAGACAGGCAATTGTTAGATTGTGTCGTAACAACTACAGACTGATCTTATGATTCTAGAGCGGGCGAATAATTACCAGACAAGCAACAACCTGCAAGTATCTCTCACCGGCTTCTTTCAAGGTGGAAGCGAAGGCACATGTGCCCCAAGGCGATTTTTTGGCCCGGAACAACCATCCACTCAGCATAGTCATTCCTGAGATGGGTGGTATCCATGCGTGGGAAACAGCAAGCTGAAATGCCGAGGGGCTTTTCACGATTGGGCTGCATGAGGTCGCACGGCCCTGGTGTGCGTGCAGTTTGTGCCTAAGTTCAGGGTTGACAAACATGGTTTAAGTTTAGGGTTTAGGGTTTAGGGTTTAGTGTTCGTGGGGATGGGTGGGACTGCAGTCAGTCACTGTCACTGAAATTTAATATTAGTCCGGTCGCAACTCGTCTCGGATCAGTGTGATGCTCGCCCCATGCCCTGCTAGGTACTGGTAACAGCTGTAAAGTGGGCTGCCTTGGTCAGCCCCCATGACCAAGCGAACATGTTCCGAGTCGTCTGCGAGGCTGTCCCACCTGCAAGCCCCGGAGCTGTCGATCACAAAGGCAATGCTCATGTTGTCGACGGTGTGCAGAATTCTCATCTCGCCGTCCCCATTGACGGGTGCCAAAGGGCAGGAACCCCAAATCTGGTCTAGGCTGAACCCGACGTGGCCAAGAATATTGCCAAGGGCCTTCAGCTCCTGCTTCGCTGCGAGCTTCTCTTCTTTCAATGCTCCCAGAGCCTTCGGCCTGAGTTTGCAGAACACGATTGAAAACAACAGTGAGTGAATTGCCAAATTATCGCGATCGCTTCTGTGTCTGTATAATTCCTGCGAGACACAGCTTCTTTTTGTCCTGAGGATTCTTCGTCTGGGCCAAGCTGTTGGCTTCTGCGACCGCGGCAGCTGCTGCCATCTTCTCTGATGCAGGGGCACTCGAAGGCAACAGAGTGCTGAGGCGTTGAAGGGTGCCCACCGAGATTTGACCAGGCAAAGCAAATACCGGAAGCCATACCTCGAGAACTAAGCTAAATCCAACTAGGCTATTTGTCCTTGAAGGAAAGGGAAGCTTTTAGTCATGTTCCATCTGCCGGCAAGAATCCTCCAGTTTGGCTTTTGGCGAAGCATCACAGATAATCGTCAGCGATTTGTGTCTCAGACCACTGAGGACCTGTCAACATTATTATTAGGATTGTTTAGATCTAACTAACTGGTTTGGGCGTGCAGGGACAATGGCCTCGGACATCGTGGTCTCTGTTTTCCGAATGTATCTCGTGACAAAATCTGCGGTTGTCCTCGCATAGCTGTTGTGAATTGCAGCCACGGAGAAAGAGTGAAGCTTGAGCTTTCATGCGGCCCTAGTCAGTCCTGCAATAATTCGCCGGGCAGAGGTCCTCAAGGCCCACCTCTTTCAGAGTAGCATCTGCCGAGCCGCAGCAGAAGCCACCGCCCCTTGCCAGGAATCGGTCAATGGCGAGCTCGTTTCGCGGCTTGCATTCCAGCCGCAACTTTCTGCCGTCCCTGCCACTGGATTCTTGTTGTAACTCGGAACAAAACAGAAACTTCCCAAGCAAATAGCCGAGGGTTGCACTTCGTAGCCGGATGGAACTTGTGGTTGCTGGAGACTGCAGGCAGTATGTCCGTAGTGAGGTTCTCGACTGCTTGCTCTGCCTCTTGGGCCAAGATATGAATCAGTCGCCGCTGGATGCGACCGAAGCTGTGTCGTGAATCCTCGCTTGCCAGGGAAATTCCACTTGAGATGCAAAGGTGCTGCAAAGGTCTCTACGGAGTCTAGTGTTGCTGGTGATGTCCTGCAATTTGTCCGCGTGGGGCTGCCTGAGCAGGAACCAGACCACGACGGGGAGTCGGAGTCCTCAGAGACAATCAGTTAGATCATTCCTCCCTGAAAAAAACAGTCTGGGCCTGTGTCCACACATTGCTCCTCTTTGCTGAGAACTTTGCAATGTTGCCACCTGCGTGCCATGGAGACCCCTAAACCGTAGACTATAAGAACTCCACAGCGATAATATTTTTCAAGTATCCTATTGATTTCGGATAATCTACATAGAACATTGCCCCCTGGTCCCACCTGGCTTTCAGACCAGAAAACTTGAGGAAGGCGGTCCAGGATGCCAAAGAAACATAGCCGTCGTGTACATGGAGCAAACCTTAAACTCTGAAAGATCAAGGGACTCCTGCATTCAGCACCTAGGTTATGCAGTTATGCATGCACTAGCAAGAGTGTTTGATTGCCGCCTAGAAACAATCCTCTTCTTTGGGGACCAATTGAACTTCGAAGGAGCCCGTCAGTGCTGTCCCCAATATCACATCCAAGGTCTTCAAAGCACTTTTCTGGATATCGGGTTTGCAGCCACGGCTCTGCAACACGTACGACGTCTTGGCTTGGCCGCATTATTTTAGTAGGGGGTGGAGCATGTTTCGGGTTTGGCGGATAATAAATAAAGGCTCACGAGGCCTCGCGTCTGCAAGGTTAGTCTATTCAGGGTTCAGGGATTAGGGTTTCTTTCTAGTCATATTAGTTATTAGATTATCGCTGTAAAAAATTAGTCTTAGATTAGGCCCCACTTGGATTCGGCAGGGTGTCCAAGAAGATCGCAGCCGGATAGGTAAGCCCATCGAAGGGCAAGCGAAGGCGTTCTGCCCCCACTTTGCTTGGAGAGCCTCTGTAACCTTTCTTCCGGATCATATGAACATTGAGGTTGATTCGCCAGGCCTCGGCGCAATCTTGACCCAGCCCGTCTAACCTCGGATTCATGAATCAGACATGCTAGCTGTGTACAAACTATACTTCGAACAATCGGTAGCAACTGTGCTGCTGCGTGGAAGCATCTTCGAGAAGAAATTTGAGAATTGCTGATGGCGTCCGCCCAATGACCATATTTCTTCTGCCCGGAAGAGCATCGTGTAGCCCTCGACGTCCTGGTGTACCTGTTGAATTCTGATAACAGACATTCTATGGAACATCCTCTAAAACCCAATGCGAGAGGTTATCACTTTAAAATGAAGAACCGGCTGCCTTGTGAAGTTGCAGCACCCCTCGAACAGCTCTCTCACAGGGCAGGTACAAGGTCTCGAATTTGTCGTACCGCTCAGCAGACTCAGGATCGGGGCAGCTGTCTGCGGCCTCCTCGTTCCTCCTGCCATCGTCGCCGTCTCCTTGCTGCTGCTGCCGAAAGAGTCTTGGCCGAAGGAAGAGACCCAAGCTCGCAGCTCGAGGCCGAAGCTCTTTCATGGCATCCTGCCCAGACAAACGACAGGGATCATGATTCATGACCAAACCATTGCAAACACAACTGGACTGTAGCCTGCCTCCCAAGTAGACCTGGTGAATGTTAGATTGCTTAAAGGCAGCTGCTTCCAGAAGCATCCATCCACATATTGAATCCTTTTCATAATTCCCATCCTCAATTCATCTCTCTGCACACCATCTGATAACCTCAGTAGCGAGCGAGCACGTAGAAATTTGAGCGAGCACGTTCAGGTTGAGCGAGCACGTTAGAGCGGCAGGGGCCGGAATGAGTGCAACCCAGCAACTGGAGAATCGCCTCCAGTCTCCCTTGGAGCCACTGCAGGGCGGCCATGACAACCTCAGTGCTCGCTCGTGGCCGCGGTGCTCCCAACACGTTTGCGTTGTTCCGGTGCGGCGACAAGGGCGACAGAAAATTATTAGCGAGCACGCATTCCAGTAGAGGGCTGGATTTCGAGCGAGCACGCTCATTCCTTGGCGCTTCACCATTTAACAGCGATTGCTTGGGTTTAACATAAATGGTTGCTCGCTCAAGTTTTTCGTTCGCCCACGTAGCGGCACATGCCCGAAAAAAAATTTTTGAGCGAGCACGTACACACCAGCGAGCACGTTGAGCAGCGAGCCAGCACGTATGGCAGCAGCGAGCACGTAGCAGTCCGAGCGAGCACGTATCCAGTCCGAGCGAGCACGTATTCAGTCATCAAAATAGCAAAAAACCCCGCCTGCCTTTTAAACTCTCTTAGCAACACCTGGCCCCAAACCGACCCCATCAGCCGAGGAGCTTCGCCGGCTGGGCGAGGTGGTGGATGGCTCTGCGGGGACAGCTCCCAGGTCAGCGTATCTATAAGTGTTTCGGACAAGTGATCTTTGGAGTTGGGTGTTCTACTGAATAGCCAGCTAATGGCTTCATTATGCCCCGTAACACACACAAAGCTCAATGCTTCATTCCTTAATGTAAGAAATCTTAAGTCCTGGCAACGATACAACTCAGAAAAGCTTTGCTTTGCATGTGTTCCTGGGCGTGCCTCTCTGGTCTAGTCCGGATTTAGGGTTTAGGGTTTAGGCTTGGGATGTCAATCACAAAATGATTCTGGGGATAGGTTTTGTTTTGGTATAAACATAGGAGACTACTTACTGTTCAATACATGTCATCGAGGCATGAGAAGCAAGTCTTCTCAGTGATGCCGTCACCCTGTTCTTGCTTCTTTCAGAAGTAGAGCCGATACCTGCCATATGAATGGAGGGGATAGCAAAGACCAGTGGTCCAGGGAGAAAGAATCCCAGAACGGAAGGCTGAGGGGAAGCGGCTTAGGGCTAGGGCTTAGGGTATAAATTATTGGGTTTATTTGGGCTACTAAGTATTGAACTGAAAAGGCTAATTCATTTTTCAGGTCTAGGGCATGTTTGTCTGGTACGAATGAAAGCCAGAGCTTGGGTCGGTTCGTGAAGTTTCCGTGGCAACCTAGAATCCCCTTTCCTGGACTTCTTCTGTGGGTCAGAGGCTATCTCTGAAAAAGTTCTTACGAAATCAAGAACTTCAGGCGTGCTTTGTATATTAAAACCCAATGCATCAGAAGTCTGTGACCCCAGGACCTCCAGACAAGCCACAAACCTGAAATACCGAAACCCCACCAAAATCCAGCACCGTCGCCCAAGAACAAAACCAAACTGGAACCCCTCTCATTAGCCCCAAAACCCTGGCCCCAAACAATCAAAGCCCGGGCCCCGGAATAGGCTTCAAAGTTCTGCTTGAGGCAGGCACACTCTCAACCGGGGTTGGTGATTTTTAAGGTCGGGAGTTTAGGTTGCTAGGGCTGATACTGAATTTGGGGCTGGAGGCTAGGTGTAGTTAGTGGTTTAAGTCTTCGTATTTCTGGCTACTGAGTGTTGCAGCAGGCAACGAATGTGAGCACCATCAAGTTTTGCACGAACAGTCGCTGAAGCTGGGGAGTCGATCGGGAACAGCGAAACCCCTTGGTTTGCTCTTTGCCCACGGTGCTGCTCTAGTCTAGTGTAGTGTGAAGTACGGTCAGAGGAGACTTATTATTACACCCCGAAAACCCTAGACTACAGCCATTGCATATCGAAATAGAGCAGCATGTTCCAAAACGGCAACCACAGAAGCCCTTGCAGCTCAGGTTGACTTCGGCTTCATTCCCGAGGGCTTTCTGGATGGCGTCTCGAGCGGAGGCTCCTTGTGGCTTCTTGGAACATAATTCGGAGTAGCGGCCTTTAAGAAAGCAGCCGAACCATTGAGACAAGCAGCTTCCTTGGTCGTGCTTGTCAGAGAAGCCCCCCATACATCGAATTGGGTCTTTGCTTTCAAAGACAACTTCGAGAAGTACGGCTTGGATGTCTCCAGGTAGGAGGATAAGGCACCTGAGGCGGGGCATACAGTCAAGCGAAAGAATGAAACCAAGCAGCAATCCAAACCAACAAGTGGAATGCAGCTTGGTACCATTCAGCGGCTTCAGCGCTTCAAAATCCTCTAGCTTCAAGAGCTTCTCCTTGAGCAGCACCCGATACCAGTTCGAGAAATCTGGCCTCGGCTATGAGATGTTTTGTTTTGAATGCACGAACTGAGCAATTACATGGCGTGCAGACAAAGCTCATCGACAGATCCGATGGCAAGGACTTCAAGACAGCATCCTCAAACTCATCCTTCGCGGCCACAAGTCTGGCCGGCAAGGAGCTCAACAGCTCCTCCAAACTGTGCCCCGTCTTCGAAGCAGCGAACTTGCCCCGGAAAACATCATTGTCACCATCGTCATCATCATCGCTTTCCTTCGGTTCCCCCTCCGGCTCTGAGAAGTCGTCGGAGTCGGGCAGCAGGGGGACATCGCCTGGCGATGCCTCCTCTTTATCCTCCTCGTCCTCCTCCTCCTCCTCCTCCTCCGGGTCACTGGGGCCCTCAGAGGCCTTCGCCTTTTTTTTCTTCGGCTCCGGGGGAACCTTCGCAGGCGGAGCCTCGGGTGTCCTCTTTTTCTTGTTTGTGCCGAGCATCTTCTTCAAATCTCCTTTGGCTTCCTCAATCAAAGAAGAATCAGCGAGTGCCCTGGAATCTAATTTACTTGTCCGAAACGTAATGCTGGGTGAGTCGCCTCGCGAAAAAGCTTCAGCTTGCTCTCCAGGGCGTCAGTCCAGGCTCGCTTTCCCCCGGTATACTTCCTCTAGAAACATGAAATGCAAAGATTGGCTTCTGAACTGATTTGCAATGTTCTAGTGGGGCTCCTCAAGAACCGCCGATGCAAGATGCGAACCGAGGCGGCACAGTCGTCCAGGGTCTTGGCATTGCACAGCGGCACAGACGACGACGGTCGCCCGGTGACTCGGCCAGACGGAAGCTTGGCACTTTGGGGTTTAAGGAGTTGGGGTTCAGGGTCTGAGGGTTTTTTTCAACTCAGGGTTTAGGCTATGAATTGGTGAGTAGTGAAGGGTTTACATTATTAATTCAATTTAACTCTCAACCCTGATCTTGCGTGTGAAGGCGTTGCTACTTTCGTGACACCGACACACCCCAGTCGGAGTAGCCAAGACCTGGAGGTTAGACACGACGAGCAATCCTAGCAGACAATTAATTAAGAACAACCCAACCTAAGAACCTTTCCCATTAATTGACTGATTAGGGTTCTATGTAGTTAGCACCATTCCGGGAGTAGATTGAGGATTTAATACGTACTTTCAGATTCATAGTAACTAGAGGATTCATGTTAATATCTTTTGTAAGAAGCTTTGTCATCAGTGATTAGTACTGAAACACCCAACAAACAAACCCGAATTTCTAAACCCTGAGCCGAAACCTTCAAGGTGTAACCCGTTTAAAGCAAGGGCGTCGGAGAAAAGGTGACCCTCCAAATCAGCAGCCAGCCCAGGCACAGTGCAACACCATGTCGGCGAGGCGGCGTTTCCACACCGTAGCCGCAGTTTGTGCCTTCGGGGATATTTAATTATAATTACCTAGTGAACCAAGAACCCCGGAATGGAGAGAATCGGGGTTAGGTCGGATTTCCTCTGGGGGACTTAGGGCCTAAGGGGGCGATTGCCTCGCAGCTTTGTGGGCCTCTCGATTGATTGGTGTCTGGTTCAAAACACAATCAGCAATGGCCACTCCTGCACGTCATAAGACTAAGTTTGCGTGAACAGTTTCACCGTTTCTGTTTACTACAGCTCAGACCTGTCTGGTAACAAAGAAGAGGCCTCGAACTTGGCGTCCGTCTGAGAAGCCTTGGCCTTCTGCTTTTTCATGGTCATCTCTCGGTCACGAAGCAGGCTTTCCTAAGTTTAAGGTTTAGGGTCAGGCTTAGCGCTTTCATTAAGTAATAGTGTAGTATTGCAAGCACACGAACAGACTCTGTGTCAATGCAAGTAACCAGCTCTCCCCCAATCTCGAAGGCATCCGAAGCAACCATTGAGGATGTAACGAAGCTGACTGTGTAAGCCAGCTGCCGTGCACCCAAATCGTCCAAGACCGTTGCATCGGGGGGCTTCACAAGATTTTTCTTATTCAAGCCATAGAGGCTCGCGGCATCCTCCATGTGGGCTTGCGATGCCGAGCTGGATGGCTCTTCTGCTGAGGAGCTGCTCTGGCTGCTGCTGGAGCCTCGGCTGCTACAATCATGCGGTCAGGGATGCTGTGAGTGCAGCCTAAACCAAAAGACGAGGGGCTGGATTTCTTGCCCTTCTTCTTCTTCTTTTTGCTGTCCTTCTTCTTTTTGTCCTTCTTTTTTTCTTATTGTCCTTCGAGCCGCTTGCTTCGGCAGCTCCTGAGATTCTGTGAGCGAAAGGATCATTTGAAGAACAATGCCCCACACATACCAAACCCGGTATCTCGCAGCTAGGAGTCCACCGAAAGCATCGTTCAAGGATTTCCTCGCCGTGTTCATCATGAAAGCCCTCGCCGAATCAGCACCTGGAGGGGTCTCTGCTGCATCTCCGGCAACAGAACCAGTCAAGGACTTTGTCGAAGTAGTCCTGCCCGCAAAGCCACACACTCCCAAGCACCGTAGTTACACCACAGGACCCGTATAATATAATACAGCAGACAGCACATGCCAGACACCACACACCATACCCCAAGCAACCAAGAAAGCAGACCCACATTCGTGCAGACATCATATACATTGTTAGCAAAGAGAGCGACAGGAGAGAGGGAGAGAGACAGAGGCAGGTAGACAGACAAAGAGATGGAGGTACAAAGAGAAAAAAATATATATATATATATATATATATATATATATAGATATATAGAGAGAGATTCGTGTGTATATATATATACACATATACATACTCACATGCACATATATATATATATACACATACGTGTATATATATATATATGCATGTATTTAGAACGTCAGAGGAGGAGGCAAAACAAATTTAAACAAGGCAC